GGAACGCTCGGCATCACCGCCCTTCCGAACACCCGAACGTCGCTCTCAAGTGGTTTTTGATCGTACAGCATTGTTGAGAAGTTTCTACTTCCGCTTAAAAATTTTGCCCTTGGTGTCATCTGTTTTCCTGGACATCTCTTACGCCAGTTTGCCGAGTAATTGATCTTTGGGTTTGCTGTGAAAAGCAGAGGGAGCGATTCCTTCCTGTTGTAAAACCTGAGGCAGCTGACAGGAAAGGCACTCGGACGCTCCAGCAGTTCACAAACTCTTCCTTGGACCTGCAAGAGGAATTGTAGTGCGGCTGCTTCCCTGAAGCTGCATTTGTGCCAAAGCCGCAGGCTGGTAGGGGGGGGGGCAATCATAGCATGGTTTGGGTTGGAAGGGACCTTGAAGACCATCTGGTTCCAACCCCCCTGCCATCAGCAGGGACATCTTCCACCAAACCAGGGTGCTCAGAGCTCCATCCAACCTGGCCTTGAGCACTGCCAGGGAGGGGGCAGCCACAGCTTCTCTGGGCAGCCTGGGCCAGTGTTTCACCACCCTCATGGGGAAGAATTTCTTCCTAATATCTGATCTAAATCTGCCCTGTTTTAATTTAGAGCCGTTCCCCCTTGTCCTATCACTCCACACTGTTGTGAAAAGCCCCTCTCCATCCTTCCTGTCGGCCTGAAGTATTTTGGAGGAGGAAAACAAAGTTCTGAGCGTGTATTTGAATGAATATGGGATTTAAGTACAACTTGAAGTATGGTGGTATGATGCATAGCAATTTGACTTTTAACATCTAAAAATCGAGTCTCTTGGAGAAAAGGGTTGATCTGTCTGACCCGCTGAGGCACCCTGTAATGTGGAGTTACATTTATCTATCAAATCTGCATCGATGTATTTTATAATGTAAGCTTTTCTATGCTGTATATGGGAACCTTACAAATGCTACAATATCATTAAGCAAAACGGTTTCCCGCACGCCAGAGAGCTATTTAGTATCAAAAATGGAGAAAATATAGACCATCAAGGAGCCCGTGTAGGTGCAGAATCATTCTCTTTGTCTGATTTTGTGAGGTAAGTGGGTTTTTGGTGGTGTTGTCCCACACAGTATTTTCAAAATCTAGAGCTAATGAATCTGATGGTGTTATCAGAGATCAATTAAATTCAGCAAACAATACATAGGATAGTGTTGCTGGTACTGCAGCTTCTGCTCCATTTACACGCTGTTCGGCCAATGTGAATCGCGTTTGTGAGGACAGAGGTTGTCACGAAGGCTGCGATGCCGAGCACGGTGCCGTGACCAGCGCGCGCTTTCTGAAAGCCTGCGCACACCTCACAGCCCTCTCGTGTTACTAGAAGGTGTCGCTTGGGGTGGGTGCCAGCTGGCGTAGAGCAAAGCTGTTCTCACTGAACAAAACATACCTGTGAAATACTGAAATGGGAGCAAGTTTTATTTAAGAGACCATTGACTTTTTTCTGAAGAGCCATACGAAATTCATTATCTGTTATTTCATTGATGTTAAGGTTCACGACTGGGTTGTGGAGGCTGGTGCTTTCCCAAAGACCCTTATTTTGCTTTGTATAAAAGGATATATATTGTTGTATATAACAAGGAAAAGTACTGCTTGGGCTCTTAGAGGGTAAATTTGGCTATATTTGACCAACACAAAGGCATTACGATTGCAAACACTGTACTAAAAAGTCCAACCCAATCTGAAACGACCCATTTCCTTCAGCCTCTGTATCTGCACGCAGGTGGAAGTCTCCCTCGCCTTAACTAAATGAGACAGTCACATTCCGAATCACATCCGAAGGCAGCTCACCCCTTGGGAGCGAGGTCCTTACCGATCCCGCAACGCTTACCTCTTGGAACTCTGCTGAGGTTGTTTCTCTCAGCTGACAACACTTTCAGAGCGGGCAGGAGGCGATGGACCGGCCCCTGCCTTCTGGACGCACGTGCAGGCGTAGGTCTGCCCAGGGTGAGGGTGCGGATGGCGTTACCGCTCAGGTCTAGGGTCTCTAACAGAGGTAAATTCCAACAAGCAGTTAGGGAGAGCTCAGAAATCAGGTTGTGACTGAGATTCAGGTGTTTCACCACCCAGTCTTCATTTCTTCCATCAGCGCACACAAAGGTTTTAATATTATTGTAACTGAAATCAGCTGTTACTGCTGTTTGCGATGTGTCCTCTGGAACAGCAGATATTCCAGTAAAAGAACAGTTCAGTGAGCACTCCCCGTCCCACCGGCAGTCTGAATGGTGATGCGTGTCACGAAGGATCCGCTGTGACTCGGTTCCCGCTGATCCAGGAAGATGAAAGTAAAGGACCACAGCTATGACACCCCAGTGAATGTCAGCCATCGTACCTACAGGTAAAAGGTAAAATGACGGTAAGCGCAGCACGACCAGAGTTAAACAGAAAGCGGAAATACTTTGACACTGAAAAAACCCAACACCAAACAAACGCCCAAAGCATTACCAACGCTCTGCCTTAAAGCATTCAGGTTTGGAGCCTGGGGTGTTTTTCAAAACGAACATCCCTAAACTGGTCACCTTCCCCCAGAACAATCCGAACCTTTTCTTCCTTTTCCAGCCCTTCGGTCGAGAAGCACAGCTGCTCAGGAGCTCGTGAGCCAACAACGGTGGAGACTTTTGAACTCTCCTTCAGGTACCGTACACGATTACCGCGGAGCAAAGTCCGCCAGACACAATCCGTGACACATCGATGTGGAATGATTTTCATACTTACAGTTCATAAAACACTGTTTCCTGTTGATAACACAACAATGTATTTTTAATGAAAAACGACATTCGTACAAACACCACTTCTGAACCACGGCTGCATCTTAGAATTTATTGTTTCATTTCAAAAACAAAGATTAAAAATTCCATTGTCTTTCGCCTACTGAAACAACCACCGCCTTTACATACACTGAGAGCTCTTCACATGCCAGCTGCCTCAACGTACCCCGTAGGGTATGTTACACAGGGGCATGGAGAATGTACTTTGAACACACAGAATCTGAAGTGCATCTGTGGGATTGCAATAAATAATGTGCCACACGCTGTTTTAAATATGTATAGAAAAATATACCGTAGGCAGTTAGAAGATAAACAACAAACAAGTGCACAACGCAAGGCACGTGTGGTGCCAACACTTCTCAAACGGTGTCGTGAAAGCAACAAAATATATTAACAATACATAAATAGTGATTAAAATGCTGATAATTTCTTTCATTCAGTATTTCCATGATGGGTTTTGCTTTGTTTTGACAAAAACCTCACGCTTCAAACCCAGTTCTCCAGACCATGAGTTAAGAGTACCTTTGTGACAAACCTTCCAGCTCTGTTACATAGTGTTTTTAAAAAGAACTCTGGATAATTACAAGAATCCAATACTACCATGTCCGCACGTCAGTATTAGCCAGAGAAGAGATTTAATACGCTCTCTGTGTGTCATCCACTTGCCTGAGGCTTGAAATCTGTCATTTTCGAGATCTGTTTCAGCTTTGAGGATGCTACTGCTTGTACTTTTATACCTGTGTGTATTTATGTATATAAAAATATAGTACCAAACTTCTGTTAGCATGAGAGTGAAAATTCTAACAATGTTAATTTCCTCCTTTTAACCATAACAGACACTAATTGAGGCACTACCCAGCAGCAAAGATGTGTGCCTGTTTTCAGCAAAATGTGTGTTGAAGTGCTTAATTATTATTAACTCTGGTAAAATGACGAAGTTCACGAAGGCAGTATGCAAAATGTTACTACCTTCCTATAATCTTTAATGTGAGGAATTCAATGGCTTTTGCTACATTTTATTCCGCTTATTCTGTGTTTGTTAGAACAGCTCCGCTGCCGTCCACCCCCAAAACCCCACCGACCACTGAGCACCAAGATCTGGCGTTGCCCTCGAGCGGTGAGGGGAACATGACCCCTCTGACCTCGCGGGTGACGTCACGCCCGACCTCAGGATCCCCTCTCGCCATCACTTCCCCCAGTGCGCACCCTGCGTGAGGACGCGCTGACTCCAACCAGCTGCACGCACTGGGACCTTAGAGAGGGAGTTCTGGTTGCAGCAGGAGCCAACGGTTTGTGGAGTTCTGTGCACTGGGAGAGCTATCAAACATGGGTAGGTAGTTTATCTTCCCATAACAGATGCCCAATTCTGAAGTTAATGTGTAACATTTGCACAACTTTTAGGCAGGGAAGTGTGCGCTTATCTAGAACAACTCACCAAAAAGCTACTTGCAGAGTCACCTTTGTGGCCTCCATTGCTAACGTTACTCGGTGCTACTGCAAATCAAAACTATTTTAAACTGAAGAAACACGTGGGGTGGGGGAAGGAGGAACCTTGCAATGAGCTGGTCTGTTTTTCGGACAGAACACCTTACCTCTGCAAAAGCAGAGCTTTACCCGTTTCTATAAGCCCCCAGGTCACCACAGGCACAGTTTCACTGCTGACAACTTCAGATACACGCGCATTCACCCTGCCATCACAGGATCCAACACCGTCACGTTTAGAATCGCAGACCTGCAGTTTAACTTCAGAATTTAGTTCTGAGGCTCTCAGGGAGGCATCAGTATTGACATTTATGGGGAAAAAGAGATCTGATCTCCAAGACTGCTGCGCCAGCCATGCTTTAGATGATTACCTGTTGAATAACGGATTCCTATACTGTCCGCACTAAAGCACCTCGGAAAACACATTTTTTGGGTAGTGAACAAATAGTAAGTACATCCTTAAAAATGTACTTCTAATACAAACACGTTTTAGGAATACTTCACATGCCTAAACTGCACAGAATGGGAGCTCAAGCAACCCTTTGATAATCGCAAGACTATTTCAAAACTGTAGTTACATTTCCACACTCTATATCACTTTGCAAATATCAGTTATGCTAGCATATTTTTTTTTACCTACATCAGAATATATGGCAGAAATAACGCAGTATTTCAAAGCAAATCTGCCACTACTCCTCTCAATGCACATACGGTAAACCACGTCATTTTGGGGGAAATTATTATATCAACCTCTGGCAAGAAATGAAGACAAAAATCCGCCACTTCAGCCATCCGAGGCAAATCCACTTCCCACAACAAATCGACGTTTCCGTTGAAGTACTCCAGACCGCAGCTGTGTTCCTGGCAGCCCTCAAGGTCTTGGGACGTAGGACGAAAACCTCCTCTAAAGGCAACTGCAGGCAGTCAGGATTGCTGCCAAGATTCATGTTCTTTAAATATCTTGATCCCAATTCAGGAAGGTACTTCAGTACGCATGTAGACTGAAAGCTCGCTGAATCAGTGCCGCTGCTGCGGCTAACAGGATGATGACATAATACTGCTGAACGTAACAGCCTTTGCTTAAAAATATTAGGTAATAAATGCTAGTAGAAACTGCTGTAAAACCAGAAATCCTTGAAGGCATGCAATTACTTCATACAAATATGTTTGTGTTTTAGTGCGTGGCTCCGCAGGGATTGACAGACGTCTGACAACCCATGTTATGACCTGTCACCTGAACCTTGAACAGCGTCCCGTCTGCACACATACAGAGCTTGAAACGCAGCCAGTTCCCATTATTAAACTGTTCCCCGTAAGAAGAACTTGGCAGACGCGATGGGCTGACCATCACTGTTCCGTTCAGGATAATGCTGTTTTCCTATTAGAAGGGGGGGAAAAAAAAAAAAGTACAACTTCTAATTTAAACAAGGCAGGCTGTTTTTGAAAATGACAAGCTGGTTTAATGAATAAATGACATCTTTAGGGGGGATGTAGAAATCAACAGAATAAAAAAAGCACAAACGACAAGGTTTCACTTTTAAATTAAATTTGTGAATAATGCCCATGAATTTCTCAATTATAGTCAGCAATGTACTTTGCTATTCCAGTGGCAGATCGATATTGAGAGAGACAGCACTAGTGTGACATTTCTCTTTACAGACCTATCAGCAAATGCATTAAATCTAAAAATAAGGACATTAAGTGGGAATCAGTGTTTGAATTCATACATGAAATTCATTCACACATGAAATAAAAGTGCATGCATCTCTATTTTTTTAACTTCCTGCAACCTTTTCCATCATGCCATACGCCCTGCCATCTTAACAATCTCCAGAAACCTCAGACGAACGCTGGCGAGTCGTACTGCGGCGGCACAGCAGGCAGCGCTCCGAACGGTATGCTCTGCTCCTCTGGCAAAGGCTGCTGACCCCAGTAAAGCCTCCCCAAGAGGAGATTAATTCCCTTCGGCATTCGTTTCAGTGCAGAGGCCAACAGCTTGGCTTTAATTGCACTGTGGGTTTTTAGTGTCTCCACAGTAGTAAATCGTCGTTCCCCAAGAACTACTGAACTACTAATTAACAGCAAAGTAATAAACTACCTTTCAAAATCCTACTAAACACGCTGACTGCAACTAAACTTTTACGCATGACTACTTTATGTAAAATGTCAAACCATACAAAGCTACATCAATTTATTATCAGCCTGAATTTGAACCTAAGCTGTTAAAAAAATGCTGATTTGAAATACTTACTGCTTTAAGTTCCATGTTACCCCCCATTCGAAACTCAATGGTCTTGCCCGTGATGAAAACACCTTCGTTTCCACGGACAATAGCACGGCCATCGACCTTTATATTTAGATCACTGGTCGCATTGCTGGTAATCTAAGAACATGAACAAAAAAAGAGTATTACAGACCGATGAACATGTGTCACCTGGGTTTGTCTAAGTAACTTTAATTGCCTTGAAAATATTGCTACACAGTTTAATAAAAAACTTCAATGTACTTTTTGCCTTTCTGCCATTACGCCTAAGAAGCTTCTGCCCACTTGTTACTTTCAACATTCACACTTAAAAACAAGGATTACTTAATTTGGAAGGTATGTAAAGTTTTTTTCTTTTTTGTGATAAAAGTAACAATTCGTATGACAATTTCATGGGACAGACAGTTAACACTTGTAGCAAATACAGGCTTCCTGTTAGGACTGATTATGTAAACTTACTCCTCTGCTTTCACTTAATCTGTTCCTCCTCTGTGTTTATAGTTTTGAGTTTTTTTTTTTTCTGGAACATACTGTTTAACTGTTAGCCTTGCAGAGGAAACATGAAGAAGAGCACACTAAACTCTCTTCATTCTTAACAGGACTGCTCAGTGCTTCCTAAAGCACACTCAACCCTCCATAAAACCACTGATGCTACTCTACTACAGCTATACAAAAGAACTACGCACTGTACTCTACCTGTAAAGCCTTCATTACAAGTGATGACATGCAAGAAAGAAATTTTAGTCTGACAATAAGATCAACATTTTAAATATACACACACCGACGTTGAGGTGTTTTAGTTTTCTGATAAATAAAGCATATTTAATGTAGAAACGAAAGAAGAACTTATTTAACCTAGAAGCCATGAACGGACAGAACTCCTACAATGATGCAATTGTTCTCCACACTTTTACTTAGACTTCTGAAACTGACTGTGTTAACGTCTAGCTCCAACAGAAGGAAAACGATACATGAAGTTCTGGTAATATTTTTGTTAGTCCTTACTAGAAACAGAAAAGCTTTTAATAGAAATTTTATTTCTGAAACAGTTCTCTAGGCACAAACAAATGGATAAATGCTTAATAAAACGACACAATGGCCTAGTTGGCATGGTATTCTAGGTATTACACTCATTTAATGATACCAGTTTTCACTTCTGTTCTAATTTTTAGGGTGATTTACATTATCAGAGTGGGATTTTTATCTATGCTTAGTCAAATTTCTAAATATGCTTGCAAGATTGTATTAGTAAACCTTTTTCTTGTTCTACAGCTATGGCAATTCTGTAACGAGCTTTTACGAAAAGTAAGCAGTAGCTAAGAGAGACATACCCTCTCTGTAGAGGCCTTCTGCACGTTCAAGATTTTAACTCCATTTGGCAAATGAAACTCATGAGTTTCATAGTCTGTGCTGAACAAGGTATTCTGTGTCCGTGGGTCAACAAATTCCATCCCAATATCACTGGTAATAGAAGTTTTGTCTTTTTCCACACTAAGCTTGGTTGTTCCTTGCTGAAATACAATCTTCAGAAACAAAGTCATTAAGTTAATGACGTTGCAAACAGGACGCTTATTAATAACGCGAGCGTAATTCCATAGCGCTGCTCGCAAACTTTCAATTCACGATTGCACTTACAGGCTGATTATTTCCAGTGATCACCAAATCTTCATTACGTCTGCCTCCTACCGTGCTCTTATATAATGGATGTATAACGCCCATGTCAGAAACTTGTTTAAAGCGCAGCAAGCCGCTCTCGTGGAACTCCATACTGTCACAACCATTGGGACCGATTCGGATCACTGCCCAGATAACCAGTGTAATCTGAAAGACAAACCCACATTTTCAGAGATTACTTTGATCGTTTGGATCTTCCCACCACAAGTATTGTATTAAATGGATGTTTGATTTGACATAATTATTAACGCTGGTCATTAAGTGAGCTTTAGGTGTGTATTTACTTTAGTATGTTCAATTCCTACTGGAAACATCAGAATACTTTTAATTATGAAAAGCATTCTGCATTTTTAGACTCATCTGAAATGGTAACTAAAATAATTTGCATATATAAAAACATACATATATTCAAAGTTAGATAATGTCTGTAATTAAATCTTTTTCCTGTTTAAGGGTAACTGTGGTATCATAAGGTAAACAAATTTCCTCAACAAAGTAGCTCAGCTCAGGATGTACTACTCTTCAGCTATAAGAAAGCTGATATGGATGAAAAATAATTATATCATGAAAAATAATTCATTACTTCTCATTGATTGAGCAATAAAGACATAGTAGTTACAACAATGAAGGTTTGAAGTGCAGTGGCTGGTTAATTCTCAATGCTCACGTGCAGCTCTGTTACTAGATGTAAAATGCTCCTGGCGTAACAGTTTATCCTGAGTGCCTTTGTACCGCACTAACAACACTTTGCACATTTGCTGCTGTTGAGTTTTGTGAATGGAGCAGGCGCTTTCAAGGTTCCTACTCCTGTGTTGCATAAATGGTAGGTTCCTTGCTGGGACCACGATAACTGAAATACCATGACAGAACTGGTCAGATTGTTCCATCTAACCTTGCTCAGACTATGAAAGAACAAAACAGAGAGAAGAAGAATAAGAAACCTCCTTCGGGACATTTAAAGTCCTTCTCAGTCATACCGGAAGAAGTTTTATTTCTCTAATAAACAGTCAAAATGAAATACATCCTAATGTTGCTTACAGCCTAAGTACTATACTCACAATCAGATTGATGACAGCCAAAATGAAAAGAAGAACAATCACACAGATGGCCAGGTTGCCTTTCCTGCCACGTAAGCCTGTCTTGTGGAGACGGTCTTCATCGATCGGAATGTATCCCGCTTTAAAGTTACTGTTGTGCTCCTTATTGACGTTCCTGCGTTCCACAGCCTTCTCTCGCATAGACTTCTTCACCGGGCCGTTAGAACTCTGCTATAATAGAAAGCATGGATTAGCTGTTACAAGGTATGTAAATCCACCAAAATGACACACATACATGTACGCAAAAAAACACAGATTTGAATTGATTAGTGGAATATATTACATATTATATTCAATATTATATTTCAGTCTGCCACTCTGTACTTTGAAGACACATTTACAACCACTGCAATCTCTGCTAATGCGATGACTAAAATTAAAATCCAGGTATTTCCAGACATGTTTTTCTACACAGTTTTTATACAATGATACAATAGAATCATAGAATCACAGAATCATTAAGGTTGGAAAAGACCTCGAAGATCATCAAGTCCAACCTCCAACCCAACACCCCCACGCCTGCTAAACTGTGTCCCGAAGTGCCACATCCACATGGTTTTTGAACCCCTCCAGGGATCGGGACTCCACCATCTCCCTGGGCAGCCTGGTCCAATGCCTGACCACTCTTTCAGCTAAGAAATTTTTCCTAATATCCAACCTGAACCTCCCCTGATGCAACTTGAGGCCATTGCCTCTCATCCTATCGCTGGTTACCTGGGAGAAGAGACCAACCCCCGCCTCACTACACCCTCCTGTCAGGGAGCTAAGTTGAACACCAGCACTCGAGGTGCGGCCTCACCAGTGCCCAGTACAGGGGCACGATCCCCTCCCTGCTCCTGCTGGCCACACCATTCCTGATCCAAGCCAGGATGCCATTGGCCTTCTTGGCCACCCGGGCTCACTGCTGGCTCATGCTCGGCCAGCTGTCGACCAGCACCCCAGGTCCTTTTCCACCGGGCAGCTCTCCAGCCACTCCTCCCCAAGCCTGGAGCGTTGCGTGGGGTTGTTGTGACCCGGGTGCAGGACCTGGCACTTGGCCTTGTTGAAACTCATACAGTTGGCCGCAGCCCATCGACCCAGCCTGTCCAGATCCCTCTGCAGAGCCTTCCTACCCTTGAGCAGATCGACACTCCCACCCAGGTTGGTGTCATCTGCAAACCGACTGAGGGAGCACTCACTCCCCTCATCCAGATCATTGATAAAGATGTTAAACAAGACTGGCCCCAAAACCAAGTCCTGGGGAACGCGTGGCAGGTGAATCATTAATGTCATAGCTGCAGTAAGAAAAATCAGCTGCAAAGAACTTCATCAAGTTTTTACCTCTTGGGGACAAAACAGAACATAATCCTGCAGCTCAGTCACCAATATACAGGATTTTAATTCCCTCCATGCTAATGCAGGATGGATTCTCAATGAATCTATCCAAAAGGAGTGCGGTGGATATGGTTTTAAAGTGACTTTTAATAGCACAGGGTTTGCATTCAACTTCTATTACTTGCATGCAGCATACTCTAAGGCTTCAAACCTGGCATAGCGAACTCGGCCAGCCCAGCTTTAATTTAATCATCTGAAGTTACTAGATTGCAAGGGATATCCTTTCAATGTGACAAATTAACACGCAGAAGAAACTCTTGTAGGTATTCATAGAGAAAATAAATCTCCGATATATTTTTGTAACTTTGTCCAAAATGTTGTTTCACCTCCTTTGAATGGAACAGGTTGCTATTTAAGGGTTCAGTTCTTCAAAGGAGGGGTTTGATGGTTTTGATGGGATTAGGTTTGCTCATCCAAAATGAACGCTGAAGCTGCACCTTAAGCTTACTGCACTTGCACGCATCAACACTGATGTAATGGTTAAAACCGTCTTCTGTTCTCTTCTGTGACTGAACAAGGAGGAAATGGTACGGAGAAAGGCTCTTGACCTGAACAGGTTTACGGAGGGCTTCCTCGACGATGTTACAAACTCAGCATTGGCTAGGCAGGGAAACTGAGAGAAGAGACCTGCGCTCTGGGGAAAAGACAACAGAAATCTCATGCAGCAGGAGAGGACAACATGTTCTTGAGCGGATCTGAAGGCAAGACAGATCTCCAGTGTGTTTTTTTCACCTCAAAAGGCAGGACAACCAGGACTGGGAGCATACGGTCGAGGCGGTGGTGGCTGGAACAAGCGCTGGAGCACCCAGGCAGAACGGCAGCGCTTCCTGAGGCACCGAGACGGGGCTGCCACGGGACCCCTCAGCGGCCTGGGCTTCCAGACCCACTCGGGCCCCAAGTCCCGTGGAGACGCAGGGGCTGGC